TCCAACACTGGCTTCTCTTATGTTCAAATGCACCATCACAGGTCAAGAGGGTCAAGAGGTTCAAGAAGAAGAAGAAGAGGAGAGATTGGATTTATACCCGGCCCTTCACTACCCAAAGGTGTCTCAGAGCGGCTGACAAACTCCGTTCCCTTCCCCTCCCCACAACAGACACCCTGTGAGGTAGGTGGGGCTGAGAGAACTCTTGACAGAAACTGCTCTTTTTCAAGAACAGCTGTGCCAGAGTTATGGCTTGCCCAAGGTCATCCAGCCAGGTGCAAGTGGAGGAGTGGGGAATCAAACCCGGTTCTCCCAGATTAGAGCCTGCACACTTAACCACTACACCAAACTGTTCAGGGACAACAGCCGGCCTACTGGGCCTCACCCACTTCTCGTTCCCCTTCCAGCCACACCCTGGCACGAGAGCCTTCCCAGAGGGGAAGCGGCTCCGCTACGATGCCCGTCTAATCCTTCTGTCTAAATATAGGAGGACAAATCCAGGGGCCTGTCTCGGATTCTCAGAAGCTACAATAATAGAGAACGGAGCGATGCCAGGCATCGGTGGGACAAGCCAGAGCTCCTGAAAGGAGTCCAGATCAATCCTAGATTCCCATTTGGGTGCGGCCCGGCTGTCCACGGCACCACGGCACAGACAGCATCCCGTGAGCAACCAAGCATCTAGGGTCTCCTGCCCACCCTCTCCAACAAACTGATGGAGCCAACTGCTCCGTGGGCTCTGGAGATCTTTACCAACAATTTCGTTTCACTGAGATATGTTGGTGGGGAAAGTCTATATCCACGTCTGCCCACTCAGGGAACTGCACCGAGGAACAAAACGCCTGGCTCCCAGTTGCTTCCATCGAAACCAGGGGTGTCAAACATGCAGCGTGGGGGCCGGGTGAGGCCCCCGGAGGGCTTCTATCAGGCCCGCCATGGAACTGGCTGTCTTCTGCTTCTTCTATCAGTTCTGCTGCTCCTGCGTCATCGTAGGTTTGCAGCTTACAGATACACACCTGAACAGAATACTCAAGATCGCAACAGCGCAGACATTCTGATGCAATCATTCAGAGCAAGAGGTGTCAGTTAGCAGACACTGTTAAATGAACAAAATATTGCAAGAGTGCTGATGTTTTAAGCATGTTTTTATTTTAAGTAAAAAAACCCCACCTTTGTGTTTCTCCGCTACCTGGCATTACAATTTATGACACACATGGCCTGGCCCAGCAAGGAAGAAAAAGCAGAAGACAGCCAGTTCCACTGTGGGCCTGATAGAAGCCCTTTGGGGGCCTCATCCGGCCCCTGGGCTGCATGTTTGACACCCTGGGTCTATCTAGCCCAGCATCCTTTCTCACACATATGGCCACCCAGTTCCTCTGGAGGGCCAACAACAGGGCAGAGAGGCCGAGGCCTTCCCCTGAGAAGGACACCAGAAGAGCCCTGCTGGGTCAGACCAGGGAGGGTCCCTCCAGTCCAGCCTCCCGTCTCACACAGGGGCTGACCAGTTCCTCTGGAGGGCCAGCAACAGGGCAAAGAGGCCTTCCCCTGATAAGAATGTCAGAAGAACCCTGCTAGAGCAGACCAACTGTCCAACAAGGAAACTCACTGGATGACCCACGCTCAGCCTAAGCGACCTCACAGGGTTGTAGTAAGGATAAAATGAAGCAGAGGAGGATATTGTAAGCGGCTTTAGGTTCCCATGGGGGAGAAAAATGACGTATGAATGAAGCAGCTGCCCACCCTAAAGCAGGGGGGAACTTTGTAAACAGCTGTGCGAATGTCGGGGATTTGCACGGTGAATATGGCTGGAACCTCGTAGGGAGTAGATCCCTCACATGGGAAGTCTACTGGTGTGGATCAGGTCTTCCTTTATTCCCTGCAGCTTACGAGAGCACCAGAAGCATGACCAGAAAGACCCCTCTACTACTACTACTACTACTACTACTACCTATTCATAGTACTACTTACTAGTAGTAGTACAAGTTCCACCATCACTCCCAATAAATTATAATTTGCCCAGGGACTTACCACCAGGTACATCATGGAATACATGGCAAAGGAGGCATGACCCGAGTAGAATGACTTTCTGGAAGAGAAAAAAAAATTGGTTACTTTCAACAAGATGGTAGGACGCGTGCTCTGTGACTGCACCAGAAAGTTCTGCTCGCTGGCCCTGACAAGGCTCGATAATTTTTGGCAGCCAGTGAAAGGCCTCAATGTCACTACCAAGATTAATTTAAAAAATTCTGTGTCTTCTTTAGAAGTCTGGTTGACCCCTGCAGCCGATTAGTCAAGTACATTTTTTCTTTGGGTGAGGCCTTTGAAGCATTTGGTGCAATACGAGTGCTAAACGAAAGTGCATTATTTAGAAACTGGGCTGTCAAATTTCCTGCCCACTCTGCCGAGGCCCACAACGTGCCTCTGAACCCTTCCTCTTTGTTTCCTCTAAGAGCCCAAGCAGGGGAGGCCCAAGGCATTTGGACCAGCACAGAGACGTATTCTGCACCAGGAATGACGTATAAGTCAAAAATCAGAACCTATGCAATATTGAGACAGCAGTTCATTTGGGCATTTTAAGACATTGCTTTATCTTTGTGAACTGCACAAGGCATTGCTGAATGGAAAAGCAGCACAGACATTTTCTTACTACTACTAGTACTTACTACTAGTATGAAGTGTAAACAGTAAGTATGAATGGTCATCTTTGTGAACTGCAAAAGGCTTTGATGAATGGAAAGGCAACATATTCTCTTACTACCAGCACTACCTACTACTAGCATGAATAGCAAGCATGAACAGGAAGCACTACTACTAGTACTACCACTAGTAGTACACACTATTAATGCTTGCTTATAGTAGTATTTACTACTACTAGCAGTGTTCCCTCTAAGCTGAGTTAGTGTGAGCTAGCTCACAGAATTTTAGCCTCCAGCTCACAGATTTTTGTCTTAGCTCAGGGAGGAACGGTTCCAGAGCAAGCTAATTTATGCAGTACCCAAATCATCTGCTCACAACTTTAATGCCAGCAGCTCACAAAGTAGAATTTTTGCTCACAAGACTCCACAGCTTAGAGGGAACATTGACTACTAGTAGTAGTTCCACCATCACTCCCAATAAATAACAATAATACAGGAAATTTTATCCTGACCACAGAATTTCTGACTAGTAGTACTTACTACTAGTATGAAGTGTGAATAGTAAATATGAATAGTAATCTTTGTGAACCGCAAAGGGCGTTGATGAATGGAAAGGCAGCATATTTCCTTACTACCAGCACTACCTACTACTAGCACGAATAGCAAGCATGAACAGTAAGCACAACTAGCAGTACGACCACTAGTAGCACGTACTATTCATGCTTGCTTATAGTAGTACTTACTACTAGTAGTAGAAGTTCCACCATAACTCCCAATAAATAACAATACAGGAAATTTTATCCTGACCACAGAATTTCTGACTAGTAATACTTACTACTAGTATGAATAGTAAATATGAATAGTAATCTTTGTGAACCGCAAAGGGATTTGATGAATGGAAAGGCAGCATATTTCCTTACTACCAGCACTACCTACTACTAGCATGAATAGCAAGCATGAACAGTAAGCACAACTAGTAGTACTACCACTAGTAGCACGTACTATTCATGCTTGCTTATGGTAGTACATACTACTACTACTAGTAGTTCCACCATCACTCCCAATAAATAACAATAATACAGGAAATTTTATCCTGACCACAGAATTTCTGACAAGAAGCCTCACGTCAGTACAGGGTAAATTAAAAAAATATATATCACATCAGGTTTCTGTACATGGGATCTCTAGGGTGCTTTTTGGTTGTGTGCCTTGGCCAGCAAGTACGCTCCCCACTCTTCTTGGGCCACTGTTCCCCAGTCCACACCTTGCCTCCTTCTCCTCGGAGACGCCGCCGGTGCAGCTGTACTCCTCCACGTATCCCGCAGAGCAGTCAATGTGAGTGAAGTTTGGCCGACACACGGCCAGGAAATGTGGGCGGAGGCGGCCCACGGCCACCTTGGCCATGTTGGTGAGCGACTGGCCCACCGTGCAGCCGAAGAGGAAGGCCCCGATCTCCTTGTAGAGCGCCACCACGTAAGGGTTGCGGACGACGGCGTGCGAACTGTGGGGGAAGGTGTGCACGTGGTAGCTTTCGCCCAGGGTGATCTACGGTGGAAGAAAGAACAGAGGGGCGGATTACGAGCTATTCGTGCACCGGGGAACATTTCGCACCACCCGACAGACAAGGGTTTACGTGAGCCAAGGAGAACCAAGGAAAGCGTGGCTTAGTCTAGCCGGCGAATACAGCAAACTCTCTGTTTATGGATCAGCCAGGGTACGTGGGGGGAAGGGAACGCCCCACTCAGAAAAAGAGTTTGCCACAGAGTGAGGAGATTTCGGTTTGAGGAGAGAAAGCGTAAGAGAGAGGGATGTGTGTGGTAGGGAGACAGACGAGGCCTCCGGTTGAGAACGGTCTCGGGGTAGGGGGAGCAGAGTTGGCCCAAGAACTCACTGGGGGGGGGGTGTCTCAGACCTTTGGAAGCGGGCTCCACTTGCTCCACACACCACTTTCCCCCTCCCCGAAAGAAAAAGAGGAGGAGCAGGAGGAAGAAGAAGAAGAAGAGGAGATTGGATTTCTACCCAGCCCTTCACTTGGTGTCTCAGAGCGGCCTACAATCTCCTTTCCCTTCCCCTCCCCACAACAGACACCCTGTGAGTTAGGCGGGGCTGAGAGAGCTCTTTCGAGGACTGCCCTTTCAAGGACAGCTCTGAGAGATCTTGTGACTGACCCAAGGTCACCCAGCTGGCTGCAGGTGGAGGAGCAGGGACTCAAACCTAGTCCTCCAGATCAGAGTCCGCTGCTCATCACCACCATACCACAGTTCGCATCAGTTAGCACTGGATAAAATAACGGGGTGGATCCAGAAAGCAATCAGTGGATGTTTTCCATATACACTTTATTTTGCATTTTTAGTGTATATAAATGGACAGCACTACTGAGCAACAGGTTGTGCCCCGTGGCCATTTTGCAGGCTGGGCAGAGGAAAAGCTAGATTCTGGCTCCTGCCTAGGTTGCCAACTCCAGGCTGGGGGAATTCCTGGAGATTTGGGAATGGAGCCAGGGGAGGGAAAAGAACTTGGTGAGGTATAACACTACAGAGTCCACCCTCCAAAGCTGCCATCTCCTCCAGGGGAACTAATCTGTGTCATCCGGGGATGAGTTGTTATTCTGGGAGCTCTCCAGGCCCCATCTAGAGGCTGACAACCCCACATCCTGCCCCCAAGTCTGAGAATCACAGCAGTCAAGCAGGACAGGGGGAGAATTGGGCCATAGATTCAATCAGGCCCGTAGCTACGGTGGGACTTTCAGGGGGCTGTGGCCCCTTTCTTAAGGCCATAGCCCCACAAGAATTTTTCCTGTAAATGCCTTTTTCAATCATTTTAAAACATTTTTTTAAAAAGGCGTGCACTTCTTTAAGCAGAGTGGGGTACAGCAGTTGACTAATTCCTGCACTGAGCAAGGGGGTTGGAGTAGGTGACCTCTAGGATCCCTTCTAACCCTGGGTCAAGTAACTGAGCTCCTTTAAGAGAATTTTTCTGCCTAAGTGTTCGCTTGCTTGATTATAGAAGTCATCTCCCCTATTGGCTGCCTTGCTCTCAGAACTGTTGCTCAGGCTGGCATAAGTGATTAACTTGCAGCAGCTGTGTACTGTCATGTAAAGTGGTCCACAGCTTGCAATGTAGAGATCTCTCCTGGTCACAGCTTTCTGTTGACTAAATGGCTTTTCTTTCCGCATGGAGAACTTCACCCCCACCAGGAAAAGAAATCTGCCCCACAAGCCACAAAACCCCAGCTGCTCTTCACTGGGAGTCCGGCAAGCATGCTTTCTCTCTCTGAACGTTATCCAAAAGCGTGTGTACCTTCCAGAAGTAGGGTGCGCTATGCCCAAGGGCTAAAGAACTAGCTAGTGTTGTGTGTGTGTCCCCCCCCCCGTCCTGTCTTTAGCAAGGGACTCACCGCTAGAGAGGTGATGAGGATCCCCACGGAGATGAGGACGGAGTCGCTGACGGTCTCCGAGTGCCGTAGCGGGTAGCTGATGCTGCTGTCGTTGCAGAAGAAGCCGTGGCGCACGGGGGTGACCAGGCCGACCTCACAGAGGAAGAAGGGAACGGAGGCTGCGGCGAGAGTACAGGGGGAGGGAGAGAGAGAGAGGGAGACCCGTCAACACGGAGCAGGTGTCAGGGCACTGTGCTCAGGAGGATAAAATGAAAAGCAAATCACCTGGAGATCTGCATCTGAAAGAAAAACCTATATCGATTCAGGTGGGTCGCCATCAGGGGTCATTTCCTGCGGGAGCGCACAAGAGCGGAGCTCCGGCAGTAAAGAGCCCAGGGGGCAGGCACATGCAACAAGCCCCACCCCCTGCTCAAAGCAGCCCTCAGTCAGAGCAAGAAGCAGCCAGGTAAGTTGCAGAGGCCCCCCCGCCCCTCCCTCCAAAACAGTCCAGTGGCACCTTTAAGACCAAGTTTTATTCAGGTACAAGCTCTCCCTCCTCTGCAAGGACAGATCTGCATGTCCCCCCCTCCATAGCTAGCAATCCAAAACAGTCCAGTGGCACCTTTAAGACCAAGTTTTATTCAGGTACAAGCTCTCCCTCCTCTGCAAGGACAGATCTGCACGTCCCCCCGTGCATGCATGATGATACAATGAAATGGAAATTACCAGTCCGTACACATAGGTGAGTTCACTCTCTACCCATAAGTATGGGCAGGTAATTTCCATTTCATTGCCTCTGAAGGAGCATGTGTGCACACAAAAGCTTGAATAAACCTTTGCTGGTCTTCAAGGTGCCCCCAGAATCAAACTTGGTTCTGCTACATCAGACCAACATGGCTGCCCCACCTGCATCAACACAAAATGGTTGTTTGCTTACTTCTTTTATACCCCACCATTCTCCCCAGTGGGAACCCAAAATGGCTTCTCTTCCTCTCCACTTTGTCCTCACAACAACCCTGTGTGGTAGGCTTGGCTGAGAGAGAATGCCTCTTTTTCTACAAAATGACCCCGGGTCGCCATGTTGGTCTGAAGCAAAGGCACACCCTTAATTTCCCCCTCCCCGATATTTTTGCATTTGTGTGTGTGCGCCCATGCCCGGAAGTCATGGCGACCTCTGGCGCACGGAGGACGTTCAGAGAAGTGGCTTGATAGCCTGCCTCTGCCTCTTGGCCCTGATATTCCTTTTTTTTAAAATCATTTTTTATTTTATAAAAGGCAAACAAAGCATATAAACATGCAAACATAAAATCGGGGATTTCGTTTACAGCACTGTTTTACCTAGTTCGAACGTTTAGGCGGCTGGTTCCCATCCTTGAACGCGACGACTTGGCAACGGTGATCCATACGGTAGTCACCTCGAGGTTGGACTACTGTAATGCTCTCTACATGGGGCTGCCCTTATTGCAGATTCGGAAGCTACAGCTGGTGCAAAATACAGCAGCCAGGCTTCTAATGGGCCTCCCAACGCGGGAGCACATCCAGCCTGTGCCGAAGACACTGCACTGGCTACCGATAGCATACCGAATTCGCTTTAAGGTGCTGGTTCTTACCTTTAAAGCCCTTTATGGTCAGGGAACTACATACCTCAGGGACCGCCTTTCCCCACATGTTCCCCAGAGAACATTGCGATCAGGGTCTCAACATCGACTCACCCTTCCCAGACCAAAGGACGCCAGGCTAGCTATGACCAGGGCCAGGGGCTTCTCGGTGGTGGCTCCGCTCTGGTGGTATGAGCTCCCGGTGGAGATCATGGCCCTGTGGGACCTTATGCAGTTCCACGGGGCCTGCAAGACAGAGCTCTTCCGCCAGGCGTTCAACAGGGAACCGCCCCGGGGGAGAATGCCCTGTCCTCTGAAGTTCTTAAAGCAGCCGGAGCCACCCGTACATTATTAGATCGGGATGGACCACTAGGACGGCACGGAAGTCTGAGCGCCATCTCAGACGTAATGTTATATTGTTATCTGTTTAATGGTCATTTGGATTATTACTATTAGCACCTTTTAATGTTATAACTGTTATATGGTTTTATGATTATTATACTATTTATTGTTGTTTTTATGCTGTTGTAAGCTGCTCTGAGCCGGCCATGGCTGGGAGAGCAGGGTATATATGTAATCAACAACAACAACAACAATAATAGTTGGTAATCTCATACACTGTCCAATTAGACTTTTTACATTTTCCCACCTTGTACTTTTTATACATAACTCTTGCATATAGTTAAATATCTAGTTCCTCTTTTCTTCTGTTTCGGTTCTATGTCCATAAAGTTTATGTATTATCCTTTTCCATCCATTAGTCATGCCGGCCACATGGCCACTGAAACGTCTTCGGACAGCACTGGCTCTTCCGCTTTGGTAATCTCATGAGCACCGCAACCCTAGATTCGACTGGGTTTCGAGCAAGGGAACCTTTACCTTTTACTTGCATATAGTTAAATATCTAGTTCCTCTTTTCTTCTGTTTCAGTTCTATGTCCATAAAGTTTATGTATTATCCTTTTCCATCCATTTATAAAATCCTGACCGTGTATTCTCGAAGCTTCCTTTACTTATGTCCTTATGTCCACCAGTTTGCAGTTGTGGTTAAGTGCGCCGACTCTAATCTGGGAGGACCGGGTTTGATTCCCCACTCCTCCACTTGCAGCTGCTGGACGACCTTGGGCAAGCCCTAGTTCTGACAAGAGCTGTTCTTAAAAAAGAGCAGTTTCTGTCAAGAGCTCTCTCAACCCCACCTGCCTCACAGGGTGTCTGTGGTGGGGAGGGGAAGGGAAGCCGCTCTGAGACACCTTTCGGTAGTGAAGGGCGGAGTATGATTCCAATCTCTTCTTCTTCTCTCTCAAAACTGAAGTTCAATCGTCCATCTCTGCTGTTTCAAGTATTTTAAGCGGCCCTGGCATTCTCTGGAGGTCTCTCATCCAACTACTTGGCAGGGTCGGCCTTGCTTAGCTTTCGAGAGTGGACGAGATCGAGCTTCACTGTCCTATCCAGGTCAGGGCCGGTGGCGTCTTTAAGACCAACGAAGTCTAATTCTGGGTATCAGCTTTCGTGTGTGCAAAAGCTGATACCCATAATTAAACTTTGTTGGTCCTGAAGGTGCCACTGGGACTGAAACTTTGTTCAGTCACCTGGATCGAGAAGAAGAAGTAGTGATTGGATTTATACCCCGCCTTTCACGACCCAAAGTTCCCAGAGCGACTTACAGTCTCCTTTCCCTTCCCCTCCCCACAACAGACACCCTGTGAGGGAGGTGGAGCTGAGAGAACTCTGACACAAACTGCTCTTTTTCAAGGACACCTCTGACAGAACTATGGCTTGCCTAGAGATGTGAAGGCCCGGAAAAAAACCAGAAAAATTTGGGGGAAAACCATTTCCCCCCGTTTTTTTTTCCTGAAGCCTTTTTGTTTTTTCCAAAAAAGTGGAAAAATTGAAAAAAGAAAAGGGGAAAAAATTGATTATGGAACATTTTATTTTAACACGATGAATAAAATATTTTAAGACAAGGTGTTCAAATATTTTCCAAATCATTTCTAATATATATATATGGTATCAGACTGATCTAATTTCTGTGCACTGAGGACAAGCAAGACCTAGGTTACAAACTGAATTCTCCAATACAAGAACAAGATGCATTTCTTCCTTTAGGAGGTGCTAATGTCACAAGGAAAGAAAAAGGTTTCAGTTTTGTTTTTACATGCGGGTGGGTATTCTGTTTGTAATAATTGTTTGGATACACTATATTTTTAATATGCTAGTTGTGATAATTTCATGGCAAGTGGAGGAGTGGGGAATCAAACCCGGTTCTCTCAGATTAGGGTCCGCGCACTTAACTACGACACCAAACTCGCAAGTCCCCGTATTCTACCCCACTCTCCTGTGACCGAGAGGGGACAACAGCAGCTCCATTAATTCTTTTTTTCCTCTTTTCACTTATACGTGCTTCTGGCACCTCAAGCTGAAGCCCAGAATACCCAGTACAGAAAAGCAGCCACACATTTTCAGCGCCGTTTCCACAGTCCCATGGCTTTGTTTTCCAGGAAAGCCGAGCCCTTCAGGATGCTGAACTCTGCCCCAGAGACCAAATTCAGCACAGGGCCTGAAATGTGACCTCCCCGGCATCGTTCAGCGAGTTGGCTTCTGGCCTCCACTGTGTTGTGGAACGGAGCAATGAAGTTTCCATGTACAGTCCGGACACTGCCAGGACACACGGAGTGGCTATAAAGGCCTGTCCAATGGCAGGCCCGCTCATGCACAGTCCCCATGGGTGCCTGCACAGAAGATATTCGATGAACAACAGTTACAGGCGAGTGTGACTTTGTTTTTTCTGTCAAAATATATCGCCACTTTCCATAGCTGAGAGGCAGCTACTATTTTCAGCAGTGCTGTATAAAACAGTTTTATAGAAGGAGGAGGAGAAGGAGGAGGATGAGAAGAAGAAGAAGAAGAAGAGATTGGATTTATACCCCGCCCTTCACTACCCAAAGGTGTCTCAGAGCGGCTCACAAACTCCTCTCCCTTCCCCTCCCCACAACAGACACCCTGTGAGGTAGGCGGGGCTGAGAGAGCTCTTGACAGAAACTGCTCGTTTTTCAAGAACAGCTCTTATCAGAACTACGGCTTGCCCAAGGTCATCCAGCAGCTGCGAGTGGAGGAGCGGGGAATCAAACCCGGCTCTCCCAGATTAGAGTCCGCGCACTTCACCACGACACCAAACTGGCTCTACACCAAACTGGCGGAAGAACCGAGTGAGAGGGTCACAAACACGTAAATGCCAAAGTCCTTGGAGGAGTGTGGGCATCTCCCTTACCCATCACGGGGCACTGTAACCTAGTCCGGGATGCACAAACAGCCGGGCACAGGAGCCGCCAAGGCGAAGAATGCCGGGAGCTCAGACAATCAGGGTTTCTATGTCAACCATCTAAGCCTGGCAGGGACAGCTGGGCTAGGCACACACACGTCCCCGCCGGCTTTGGAACCAGCCTCTCTCTCAGGCTTTTTATTTTTGTTTTCTTGGGAGAAGGCTCCAGTTTTCCACTGGAATGCAGCCTCCCTGCCCTCCCCAGAAGCCGTTGGGCGGTATATGTCGAGGCGCCCACGACGGCACTACAAGGGAGAGCCAGT